TGTCAGTAGTGGCACAGAAATTTATTTAGGAAAGCAATGTATACACATTCAAGAGAGAATGCAGGCCAAGAGCAATCCCTTGGTATAGAATGTTAATACTGATAGAGAAACAGCAGCTAGGGGCTGGACTAGAGATGGAACCAGGGCAAAGTAATTCAATTTTATCCTAGTTTTTCTAGAGCTTACACATTGCTCTCATGTTACTTTTTGCAGGAAAGGGTGTCGGTTAAGGGAACCAGCCAATGGAGCAGGTTGGGTTGCTCAGGAGTTGCTTGTTTTGTATTCCAAAGGTTTATGCATTCTGCATTTCAACAGTTAATGGGCACTTCTTTTTGAGACTCGGTATATCTTTCCTTTTCTGTATTCCCAAATTCTTATCTGTGTTCTAACATTTATAAGTAGTTGTTTAAAAACATACTTGCAAGGACTGGTGGCTTATGCCTGTCATTCCGACTACTCAGGAGGCTGAGGAAGGAGAATCACAAGTTTAAGGCTAGCCTGGGAAACCTAGCAAGACCCCATCTCAAAATTAAATTAAAAAGGGCTGAAGAGGGGATGGGGATTTAAGCTCAATTGGTAGAGTGCTTGCCTCACATGCACAAACCCTGGTTCAATCCCCAACAACCCCACCCTCCCACCCCTACACACACTCTACTGTCACGTATATCTGAAAAGAACAAATTTAAAGGGAAAAAAGGTAGGGCTGGAGATAGGTAGCTCAGTGGTACAGCAATTGCCTACCAAAAGCAAAGCCCTGGGTTTAATCCCAGTACTCTATGCCCTACCCTACCTCACCCCCCACCCCACCCCCTCAAAAACAAACAAAAAAAAACTCTATAAAGAATAAGACTGAGATCATATCTAACTGACAAAACCTAAAATTCCAACTGCCCCTTTACAGAAAAAGTCTGCCAACCCCAATTTTAGTATTTACTGAGTATCTGCCTTTTTTTTTTTTTTTTTTTTTGGTACCAGGGATTGAACTCAGGGCACTTGACCACTGAGCCACATCCCCAGCCCTATTTTGTATTTTATTTAGAAACAGGGTCTCACTGAGTTGCTTAGCAGCCTCTCAGTTGCTGAGGCTGGCTTTGAACTCACAATCCTCGACTCAGATTCCCAAGATGCTGGGATTACAGGCTTGAGCCACAACGCCCAGCTGGAGTATCTGTTTTCTAAACAGAAAATATTTTCTTTTATACTCTAAGAAAATAATTTGGGGGCCAAAGGTATGCTCAATGGTTGAATATGTGCATAATGTGTAAGAATCTGGGTTCAATCCCCAGCACCAATGAAAAAATCATCAACATCATCCAATCTATAGAGCATCAAATTTCATATTCAACTGATTTTGTGTGCATGTGAGAAAGAGAGGGAGAGAGAGACAGGGGACTGAACCCAGAGGCAATCTACCATTTAACCATATCCTCAGTCCTTTTTTTAAATTTTGGGAGAGGATCTTGCTCAATTACCAAGGATGGCCTTAAGCTTATGATCATCCTGCTTCAGGCGCTAGAGTCTCTGGAATTACAGGGCTGCACCACTGCATCTGACTCAAATGACCTTTTTTTTTTTAATATTTATTTTTTAGGTGTAGATGGACACAACACAATGCCTTTTTTATTTTTATGTGGTGCTGAGGATCGAACCCGGGTCCCACCCATGCTAGGCGAGCGCTCTACCGCTGAGCCACAATCCCAGCCCTCAAATGACTTTTTAAGCAAAGAATTCTACCTGTGCATTAAACATAATTTTAAAAATTTCAATCCCTGGAGCAAATTCTATATTTTTTAAGTTTTTATTCACTTTTTAGATAGTCCTCCATAAGCTCATTTCTCCTACTCAACCCCTCATCCAATATATTAAGATATTTGACAGCTGCAGCAGAGTTGCAGATCCTTCACTTCTCCAGGTATTGCCCTCTAGACACTAAATGCCAAATAAAAAAGGTTCAACATATTCTTGACAGCTCTATTTGGGGCCTCTATTATTTCTAACCTACTAATTTCTATCTATTCATCTCTCCTGCTTTTCCTTTATTTCAATAGCTTAAAAAGATGGCATTAAGTAGATCATATTATTAAATGTCAATTTATATGACACACAAAAAGAAAATGCTCTAATTAACTGAATTAATACAAATACTTACAATCTTGGGTGGCCTTAATCACCTTCTTCCTTGAGCTTATTATAACCCTTTTTTACCTAAGTACTATAGCTTGTTGCCTCCTACTTTCCAACTATTAAAAAGTTGTCCTTACTATTTAGGAACTCTAACATATTAATTTCTTTTCCACATTTGCCCTTACTTTCCCTTTCAGATCCTTTGCTAAAACTTCAAACACACAAAAATGTTGAGCCTCTTAAGTATAGACCTTTAAATTGTATATCAAATTGGCAGACTGTCAACCTCTCTTCTATTTCATCTACTCCTTATTCATTTATCTATCTCATTATTTAAAATACCATTAATTCCCTCAGGGTTATACAGTGGAGGGGGTAGAGAGAGAGGAGGGGAGGGGAGGGGAGAGGTGGGGAGGGGGAAGGGGGGAGGATGGGAAAGGCAGCGGAGCACAACAGACACTAGTATGGCAATATGTAAATCAATGGATGTGTAACTGATGTGATTCTGCAATCTGTGTATGGGGTGAAGGTGGGAGTTCATAACCCACTTGAATCAAAGTGTGGAATATGATATGTCAAGAAATTTGTAATGTTTTGAACAACCCACAATAAAAAATTTAAAAAAAAAAATACCATTAATTAATTCCTTTAGGTCTTCCTAAAACAAAATTTACCTCTTGCTCATTAAAATTCACCAATTCTATTTTTTTAACTTAAGAGACATGGCAATACAACAAACAAAATATACAATGTCTACAGATGTTTAAATGGGATGTGAAGAAACCATTATAAATGGCAAACTCAAATAAGATTAAATGTTAAGCCAGGCGTGGTGGTGCATCCCTATAATCCCAGAGTCTCAGGAGACTGAGGTAGGAGGATCGCAAGTTCAAAGCTAGCCTCAGCAAAAAGCAAGGTGCTAAAACTCAGTGAGACTCTGTCTCTAAATAAAATACAAAATAGGGCTAGGGATATAACTCAGTGGTTGAGTGCCCCTGAGTTCAATCCCAGTATCCCCTAAAAAAAAAAAATTAGTTAATTTGATATTAAATAATTTTTAAAAAACCCTCTGAATCAGCCTGATGAATTTTAAAATAGTAAAAATAAACACCATATCTGATGTAATTATCTAAATTGTATTTGATTTAATAACACAAATTGGATAAACTTTTAGACTCTCAGAAATGGTCAGATTGGGCCTAGGGATGTGGCTCAATGGTGGGATGTGTGCTTGGCATGCATGAGGCCCTGGGTTCAAGCCCCAGAACCGCGATAAACAACAACTAAAAAAGCTGGATCAATCAATTTCAAAACACTCCTGAAGCCTCAAGTTCTTTTTTAAAAATGCACATATAAAAAAAATTAATTCCAGGAGAGTCTAAAAAAGAGTGCTAAAAATACTGCTAAATTACTCAAAATCATAAGAGTACTAAGATAGAAAACTTCAATGATCTCTTCAAAAAGAGGCAGAGCAGATCAAAACTTTTATCATTTTCATGTTTTTTTAAATTGCTTTTACAATTAAATTATTTTTTCATTGCAAATGGTCCCCCCAAATAGAAATCATTATAGAAGCTATGACAAATACATGCCAACATTATAGTCATTCAGAATGCATACAAAGATCTAATATCATGAATAAATGCTTATTTTAATGCTAAAAGGGCAAAACCCAAAATTCTATATCTATTAGAATCACAGTATAATTAATTACAGGAAAATGTATTACAAGGAAGAATATAAAAAATTTTAATAGTGAAAAGCTGAGATAGTGGTGACAAGCTTAGGTGAAAAGGTTTGTTTTTCCATTTTCTTCCTATATTTTCATAAGCATGACTTTTATAATGCAAAAAAAATTAACATTTAAAGTTTAGTATAAGAAATTTTTATGCCAGGAGCAGTGGTGCATGCCTGTAATCCTAGGAAGCTGAGACAGGAGGATCCTGAGTTCAAAGCCAGCCTCAGCAATGGTGAAACGCTAAGCAACTTAGTGAGACCATGTCTCTAAATAGAATACAAAACAGGGTTGGGGATGAGGCTCAGTGGTTGAATGCCCTTGAGTTCAATTCCCGGTGCCAAAAAAAGATATTTTTATAAGGTTTGTTAGTTTTTTACTCTTTCCATTATTTTAAGTATGGTTGATATCCCAGTAAACATAAATCCTACCAACATAAAAAAATTTAAATATGGGGCTGGGGATGTGGCTCAAGTGGTAGCGCGCTTGCTTGGCATGCGCGTAGCGCTGGGTTCGATCCTTAGCACCACATACAAATAAAAAATAAAAAAAATAAAGATGTTGTGTCTGCCAAAAAGTAAAAAAATAAATATTAAAAAAAAAATTCTCTTGGGCTGGAGATGTGGCTCGGGCGGTGGCACGCTCGCCAGGCATGCGTGCGGCCCGGGTTCAATCCTCAGCACCACATACAAACGGAGATGTTGTGTCCGCCGAAAACTAAAAAATTAAATACTAAAAAAATTCTCTCTCTCTCTCTCTCTCTAAAAAAAAATTCTCTCTTTCTCTCTAAAAAAAAAAAAAATTAAATAAGCCATCGAGCTATCAAATTCTATTTTTAAAATAACAAAGAAATGTGAAATATGGCAAAAAAAAATTGGAAGAAATAGGACAAATTTTCATTTCAGGGCTGATTATGTTACCAAGACAATGAGTTTTAATAGAATCCATTCAGATTTTCTTTCCTTTCATAGAGAAGATAATGATACCATCAAAAGTCAGAATCAATTAACAGCCTCATATTGAGTTTGTATTTTCTAAATCATACATGCACATTAACTCACATAATAAAGGCTGCCAGCATTACAAGATGGGCTATGTTTAAAAGTTCTTTTTAGGCAAATAGGAAAATAGCATTTCTCACTTGTGAAATATGATTGATTGAAGATTCCATTCTTCGTAACTGGGATGCCTGGATATCCAGCATCTGCAGGACATTGTTGGCCAAGGTGTTTATCAGATAGGCAACACTCGCTAAGGATTGGGTGGTGTAGGCTTTGGTTTCTTCTAGGGCTCGCTGCTTGTCTGCTGACTAAGGAGAAAAACAAGATCATTACTTCAAAGATAACCCATTTCTAGCCAACTAACCTATAAAAGTATTCACCAAATTCATTCTGGGTTGCTGAATCTACACCCACCGTTGATAATGTTCTGAAAACTATCAGTATCATGTAAACCCAAAACTAAACTATTGACAGAGTTCACTGATATTTTCAAATTCAATAGATATATTTTTATACAAAGACAAATAAAATCTTAAAGCTATTATTTTAAAAATGAGACCCAGTACACATTTTGCACAATACCAGCAAATATATACCTTCTCAAAAATCACTGGTTAGAAAGGTAGCATTGATTTGAATATATAAATTCTAGCATACTTTTTTCTACTTTCCTGAATTCCTCCTTTTCTTTCATTCTAACACATGAAGTGTGACTATAATGTGGTTATATGTCTATTAACATATTAAACAATTATAAAATAATGATAAAAATGGTAATGATGATAAACAATGAAAAATTAAAATTAAAATAATGAAAGTATATTAAGTGTGACAACTCCATGTGACATAAACTGCTAAGAACCATAACCAGAGATTACACAGCAAAAAATAACTCAATTTTGTCCAAGATTGCATAGCAAAGCATATTCTATGCTGACAAGTGACAAACACTATCTTCTTGCCTTAGTTCTTCAGAGATTTGGTGGTTCAGTAGGAAGTACATTAAGTCTCTGAACAATAAATATTTTATGTTAACATCAATACTAACACAACAATTTGTCAACTCAGAAAACAGTCACAGTTCCTCAATTTTCTTACAAGGCAAAGCAAAGAAAGCTGAAAAGTTGTGAACATCAAGATAATGAACATCTCTAAAATATAAACCATTAAATGTAACAACTGTTATTTCCTTGAGTGATTTAACTGTCAAAAGTCCACTATTGGAGCTGGGATTGTGGCTCAGTGGTACAGTGCCTGCCTGGCATGTGTGAGGCACTGGGTTTGATCCTCAGCACCACATAAAAATAAATAAAATAAAAGTATTGTGTCCACAAATGTACACTTAAAAAAACAAAAAGTCCACTACTGTCCCAATTCTGTCTCTCCTATACAGTCTAGAAGTGCCAATAAAACTAAATATAAATTTTTCCAAAGTTGGGGGGAAGGAAACAAGTCAAATTCTACTGAAGTAGTTAACAAAATAGTCAAATGCCATTTTACCTTAAAAAGAATTAAGAATTGTCACTTAGTTCTTTTTCTTTTCTAATCCTTAGTATTCTTTTATATCAAAGCCTGAATTAACAAAACAGATTAGTGCAATTTTGAAGAAGGGAACTAATAACCACATAGTATCTACTGTTCTTCCTGTGAGATCAACCCAGAACCAAAAGAGACTTTGCTCACCAGAGAAAGGCATCTAGCAGTTCCCCACTCATTTGCTGCTACTTAAGGCATTTATTTGCAGGCCCTTGAGCCCAGTTTGCGGGGGCAGCTGAATTACCACACCCGGGCCTGGAGAAAGAGTCCAATCCACATTTAACCCTCCCCAACCCAGGCTCCTGAGCAGCAGGAAGCCATCTGATACCCTATCCACCCCAGGGTCCTGAAAACTATACAGGCCCTGCCCCAGGAATTCTTGGGACCCATCCAGGAACCCCTACTCACTCTCCCACAACCCTCCCCGCAAGCATCTGGGCTGCCTACCTTAAGCAGCTTGACCAAAAGAGACAACAACCCCGCCAAAAAAAATAGCTGTGCACCCTGGGTATCCTCCAGCTGCCCCAGAAGTAGAAATAGTCATGCCTACCCATTTTGGCCCCAGAAAGCTGCCAGCCAACCTCATCTACCCACCTTTGGTCAGGGGAGCAGCTAGGTAGAACTTCCTGAGCAGACTGGCTCAAGAGGCCCCAAGAATTCACCCAGCCCCAGGCATGCTTCACTACACCCAGTTGAGGCTACCTGAATGACCCAGCCCTCACACAAACCAAGGGGTGGTATGGATACAAAAATTCTCAACAAAATACTAGCAAATGAGGACTGGGTTTGTGGCTCAGTGGTAGAGCATTCACCTAGCATGCATGAGGCACTGGGTTCAATCCTTGGCACCACATAAAAAAATAAACGAAATAAAGGTATTGTGCCCATTTAAAAAAAAAATTAGCAAATGGAATCCAAGAGCTATCAAAAAGAGTATACAACATGATTAAGTGGAACTTTTCTTAGGGATAGAATTTTTATTTTTTTTTTTTTAATTCTAGGATTCCATAGCACATCTGTTCATATCTGTTCTAAATTTCATAACTGTTGATACAAAGATGTTAAAAATTATATTATTATTAAAATCACATATTTACATAAAATTTAGATTGTCCTTATAAATTATAAAACTTAAATTACTTTGAGAAAGAAATTTAGTATGATATCCTATGGTTGAAAGTAACAAAATCTCAATTCTTCATTTTTAGCTAACATTTGCCAAATTTTTTCACAGTAGGATAGTTTAAACAGATTATTTTAATTGAGTGCCATTGATTTTAGGACTTTTTAATGTATCAGATAGGGACATCAGTTTAAAAATAACTATAAATGATGCTAAAAGGAACTTGCAGATAGAGAACTAATTGTTTTAGAAGCTAACAATTTATTTTTACATTTTTTATTTCAACAGTTATTTATAAAATTAGCAAAGTTGCAAAACTAACAAATATCACATAATCTGAATAATTTTGAAGTGACTAAATAACTAAGAAAACAAATTCAGCACTGTTTAGGGGTTGGTAGCTCAAGTCATGCTCCTTTTAATTACAGAGCATTTTTAATTACAATGAGGTAACATAGGCAAACAATAAATAATACATTTACACCAAATGAGAGATAAATATACCTTGCATTGTACTGTATAAACAACAGTTTTAAAATAGGAAATGCAATTGTTGGCACCTACATCATGTAAGTCCACAGTACTCTTCATAATACCACACAAAGCAATTTGTAAATCCACCACTATATGTAAAATTTCATGGAACACTGAGTTTTGGAAAAAATATTATCTATAATGTTACTAATTCTGATTTAAATTTTATTTGTATTATAGTTTTATTCACAAATTTATTTTGAACTTATAGTTATTCCTGAGCTTTAACCAAAAGTGGTTTATATCTAATTTTGTTTAAGCATTAAATAACATTTTTTAAAATAAATTAAACCAACACTGTCAGTCATATTTCTTTCTTTTCATTTAAAATTAAGGCTTCTAGAGCTGAGAAGTGTAGCTCAGAGGTAGACTACTTACCTGCCATTCATGAGGTCCTAGGTTTAAAGCCCACCACCAAAAAAAAAAAAAAAAAAACGGATAAAATTAAGGATTCTGATCATTTATCAAGAAATACTAGGGGCTGGGGTTGTGGCTCAGCGGTAGAGCGCTCGCCTAGCACATGCGAGGCCCTGGGTTCAATCCTCAGCACCACATAAAAATAAATAAATAAAGATGTTGTGTCCAACTAAAACTAAAAAATAAATATTAACAAAAGAAATACTATGACAGCTTATATCTGAATATGAAAAAAGAATGCAAAGTCCTGTAAGCATTACTATAGTCCCAGAGAACATGCACTCTGAGGGAGAAAACATTCTAATTGATGACCTCATTCAATGAACCAGAAGTAATTTATATATTCACTTTTGTTTAGCAATTATTTTAATTAAAAGAAGAGGCAAAAATATGATCCCAATCTTCCCAATAAAATAAAAATGACAGTACGAAATTCTAATGATCAATGCCACACTAAAGAAGAGATGTGTGTCCACTAATTTGAAAAAAAAAAGACAGTTTTCATTCAATATCACATATTAGGGATCTACCACATACAAAGGATGCTCAATGCTGAGAATTTTTAAATATTCCATCTTCTATCAAAACCTATTTGGGAGAAGATTCACATAAATTATCAAGGTAAATTAAGCAAGGTGAACAAAAATAAAGTAGTACAGGTTAAATAAGAGTAATATGATGGGCAACAGGAGAAAAAAAAAGCAGCTTGAGAACCTCAACAATGTCAAATGCTCAGATTTCTATCCAAAGAGGGAGAATTTTAATTGACAGACTACATACACAACTGATTCAGAAAAAAAAAATAATTCTTACAGGTTATTTATATAGTATTTCTCTTTTTGAGAATAAGGATTGAACCCAGGGGCACTTTACTACTGAGCTAGGTGCCAAGTCCTCTTTTTATTTTGAGATAGGGTCTTACTAAGCTACCCAGGCTGAATTCAAACTTGTGATCCTCCTGACTCAGCCTCCCAAGTTGCTGTTATTATGGTGTGCACTACACACCTGGCTTCCATACATCTTTTAAATAATGTAAACCATTTCATTAAAAACCTTAAGTAAAAATGTGTAATAAATGAGCCATAACCCCTATTAATCTATTTGTTTTTTTTTTTTTTTTTTTGTAGCAGAGGCTGAACCCTGGCGCCTTAACCAATGAACCACATCCCAGCAGTTTTTATTTTTTATTTTGAGACAGGGTCTCACTAAGTTGCTTAGGGCTAGCTTTGAACTTGCAATCCCCTTGCCTCAACCTCCGGAGTTGCTAGGATTACAGGCAAGCACCACTGCACCCAAATCCTATTAGTCTTTAAAGTAAAACTGTCAGGAAATTTTTACATCCCTATTCTTTGTACCAACAACCAAAAGAAGTAATTTGAGGTGGGGCAGAGTACCAGGGATTGAACTCAAGGGCACTCAACCACTGAGCCACATCCCCAATCCTACTGTGTATTTCATTTAGAGCCTCGGTGTTGCTGAGGCTGGCTTTGAACATAGGATCCTCCCACCTCACCTTCCCTAGCCACTGGAATTACAGGAATGCACCACCACCTTTTCATAGAAGAAACACTTAATGAACCATCTCTACATATAAATGTAGTAGGGGACAAACGAGGCAGGACATGGAAGATAGCAGGAAGCAGTTTTATTTGGCTGCAGCCAGGTTCAGAGGGTATAGCTTTTGATTTAATCAATTAA